TCAAGGATAGAAACTCTGGAGCCTGGAATAACAAAGAAAGCAGAAGAGGATGCCGAGTTTAAGAGATCACCAATTATAAAATTGATGGAGTTGAGAGACAAAAGTTACCAGCTTTAAGGACTCGTAATATTTCTTGCATGGCCTTGCGCCTATCAACCACATTTCGTAGACCATAAACCATAGTTATAGCATCGAATGAACCATCACTAAATGGCAACTCAAGAGCATCACCTTCAACCCATCTGCCAAGCAATGAATGGTCACCGTCTTAACATTTTGGTTACATGCAGTATTTTATTGCAACTTTACAACATAATTTTGCAGCTTAACGAAGAGCAGCATGCAAAATTTGTGAGGACTCGTTGTAGCCAATGAATCAATAATATGCTCCAGGCTTATTATTATCATCTAATATTTCTGTACTGCTAGGATTACCGATGCTCACTCCATATTACTGAAGTTCTTTGAAAGCAAGTTCAGCCGAGATGAAGCAATAAACAGTTGCTTCTTTGAGAAGTCAAGACCAATCACCTACAGTCCTACAGATTCCATGACCCCAAAAGGCACCGATCAAATTAAAACACCTTAAAATTTCCAGAAAATTTAGTGTTACTCTACTCATAAGAGTGTGTGTGCGTGTGAGAGAGAGAGAGAGGCTTCAATGTTCATACAAATCAGCAAGTTAATCTTGCAAGAACGTAAAATTCTGCACCCATCAACTTCCACAAACCTAAACATTATTTCAAAGGCAAAAAATTATATTATTAAACATAAAAAAAAACCGTCCAAAGAAAGGGAACCGCGTAAGCAACTTCGGATGAACAGTGTGGCGACGATGAACCATCTAGGTTCATGTCTCCATACAACTCAATAGTCAGTTCAACGACCCAACTCCCGAACAGAAACCAAGGCAATCATTTCTTAAGATGATGCACAGGACATTCACATATTCTTAATTAAACAAAACAAGAAAGCGAGCATGAAATGATAAAGGGAAACAAGAAAAGAAAGCAACCTCCCCCTTGGACCCAACTTTGTCAGACAATGGAAACGTTAAATCCCCACTCCCACAGCACACATCCAATACACGGTCTCCCATTTTGGCTCTGTTTCAAAGTTGAGACAAATACCGCATCAAGGAAGAGGGAAAAAGGAACTCCAAACGGCTGAAGGAAAATGCGTTCGAGAAACTGCATACCCACTTCATGACACTACCATTCGCTTCCAAATCCGATGCTGACCCAGGCTGAACAAACCATTGAGCTAAAGAAACGGCCAAAGAAGAAAAAAGCATAAAAAGAAAACTAATAAAAATAAAAGAGGGTAGAGAGTAGAGACACACAGCAGAAACAAAAGAAGGAGGAGGAGGAGCGGGCGTACGTAGTCATAGACCGCAGCAATGCGATTAAACAAGGCCTGCCGTTCAGTGGCACACCGAACTGGGGTGCATCGTAAAGTGGGCGAGGCAGGGGACCGGGATGACGAGAACGGAGCAAGAGTGACGTGCAAGCATGCCATTTCTGACTACCTAAAGTCCAAAACCCACAAGGCTACAACCCACTTTGGGGAATTATGATTAATAGTTGAGAAAATTGGTGACAACGGCCAAAGGCTTGCAAGCGGAGAAAAGAGATGGACACTTTTTTTTTTTTTTTTTGGGTAAATAGAGAGATGGACACTTGGATATTTCTTCCAGAATCATCATCTCTTGCAAGCTTAACATTTCGGACTTATGTCCAAATATTTAAGCCTTAGTCTTCAGGGCCAGTTTTACCTTAATTGAAGTACTTTTCACTTTTCAGGAGTAAGGCATAATTTTTTTATTTAATTATCCTAATTTTAATACTCCCTCCATCTTAAATTATAAAATACTTTTAAGAGAAATTTATCATTTCAAAATATAAGACATTTTTACAAGTTTAAGGTTTCATTAATAGGCTTATTCCAATATTATCTTTTCTCCCTCTCTATTTAATACTAATTAAGTATGGATTTAAGGTTATTAAATGAAAGATAATTTTAAAAGTTTATATTTTTATTTTAAAAAATAAGGTTGTTTAGTGCATTTAATGAGGGTTATTAATATGTAAAATTTTATTTAAATGTGTCTCATAATTTAGAACGGAAGAAGTGATATTTTTTTTTATTTTTTTTGAGATTAAAAATTTATTTATTAAATCAACATATGAATTTCAGAACGCGATAGTAAAATGAAGCAAGGAATTGTAGTTATGATCCACTTGAAAATTGTTTTAAATTGAAAAAATTAATCACTTGATTTCTATAATTTTGACTCTGCAGTAGCTGAGCCCCTAAACTTTAATCCATTATAATTTAATTTTTATAGTTTTAACTTCATTGTAACTTAATTTTTAAAGTTTACCTTTTGTAATTTAATCTCTATAATTTCAACCACTTAAATATTAGTCTCTATATTTTAAAAAATAAAAATATAATGATTGAAAATATTTTAAACTTTTAATATTTAGAAAGCAAAGTTTCAAGTTTTTGGTCAAAAGTACCAAAAAAAAAACTTAGTGGATGGAAGGCACAAACCCTTTCAACTGCAAAAAGGTTAACATTGGCTCAATCAATGACTTTTCAAATTCCTTACTACCCACATGCAGCATAGAAAGGTCTCAACTTCTGTCTGTAATGAGATTGAGAAGATCTAGAGGAGGTTTTTTTGGAGCAATGGAGTGTTCATGCCATTAGTTAGAAAACATTATGTGAACCCAAGGGTAGGGGAGGGTATGGATTTAGAGACATGGCTATAATGGATAATGCATTACATAATAAAGTGGCTTGGAATATTATTTTTAAGCCAAATGGCCTTTGTAGTAGGATAGTTACTAGTAAATATGTGAGGGCTAAGGATCTTACTAAGTGTGCGATTGCGAAATGAAATAATTTTTTTTTTGGAAGAGCTTGGTTGAACTTTGGCCCAAAATTGTGGCAAAGATTGCTCATGATGGTACTAGTACTTTATTTTGGAAAGATAGGTGGCTGGACAATGGTAAGCCGCTTATCAAGAGATGTGCTACTCTAATTGCAAAGAAGCTTGCCAATTGTATTGCGAGCAACATGATGAATGGAAATGATAGCTGGAGGATGCATAGATCAATGGATTTTCTACCCTAGTAGGATATTCTTTTAATCAAAGGTCCTCTTCCTCCTTTGAGAGATGATGAGAATGATACTTTTAAATGGATGCTTCAAGCTAATGGATAGTTTACAGTGTCTCCCATGTATAATGTCTTTCAAAGTGCTCCTATGGGAGCTCAACATTAAATTGGAATATGGTGTGGAAATTAAAGGGGCTATAGAGAATTCAAGTTTTCACGTGGATGGCTTTACACGAGAGGATTATGATCACTCAATGACAGAACAAAATTTTTAGTTCTTCAATGATTTGTGATACATTTATATTTGAAGTGGAAGATATTTTTACACATTTTAAGGGATTGTAAAATTGCTCGAAATGTTTGAAAAATGTTAATTCCTATTGAAGATTGGACTTTGTTCTGGCAATTGAATAAACATGGTTGATTTTTTTTTTTTGGAATCAAAACAACAAGATATTATGAGTTTTCTCCTTGGACTACAATTTTTGGGGTCATTATCTAGTCCTTTGGAATCTTTAAAAAAAAAAAAGAAGCTTTATTTTAACATAATTATAATCCTTATAATTTTATTTTTTAAAATATAAAAACTAATACTTAAGTGGTTGAAAATATAAAATTTGAGTTACAACAGTTAAAATTTAAACATTGAATTATAATCGAGTCAAAACTTTAAAATTGAGTTATAATGAGTTAAAATTTAAGGATAAATTACAATTGAGTCAAAATTCAAAACTACAAAAATTAAATAATTTTTTTAAAAAAAAAGAGAATATCCCTTTTTCCTTTTTTTTGACCTTTTTAATTACAACTTCATTAAATGACCAAAGAATGCCCTCAAATTGCAAAGGCCTCAGTCTGTAATGGCCAAGTCATGTTTAGTGTTATTAATTTGTGTGGGTCCCATGTTCTCGAATTAACGCCTCAGTCCATAATGGCCATAGCCATTTGTGTGTTCCGGCTTTGATTGGAGGATTGGGACCATACTTAATACAGCCTAAAAAGTTATTTTTAAAAAAAAAATATATATTTATAAAAAATATTTTTTATTTAAATATGCATTAAGGTAATAAATTTTGAAATAATATAAATATTTTTTGACTAAAAAGACAATTATATTAACAAATAAAAAGAAAAAGGGAATAATATAAATATGAATGCAATAAAATTTATAGTCAACTATATTTTTAAAAATTTTAATTGCAGAGATGTCACCAATTTTAAAATAAAATATGCTATTTAAATTATTTATATATCACTTTTAGCATTTTTACCAAAAAAAAAAACTTTAAATATTATTAATTTTATCTCAAAATTTTAAAAAATTAATTTTATCCATATTAACTATCTATGCTTCAAAAATAAAATACTCTAACATTTAATGGAGACAAAAATATAAACGTAGAGACATTAATTATTGAAATGCTCTATATATAGAACCAAAATAAATACTTTATTTCTATCCTATAACTAAAACCAAAGAAATAAATAAATTGTTATTTATTTTTATCTTATAATTAGGACAAATATCTCATATTCTTAATTACACGTGGTGTAATTTTATTTTATTTAACTAAAGAGGATTTAAAACTTACTCTTGTATGAAAAAAAGTGTAATTTCTTTTTTGAAATTGCGCGACGATGAGAGATTTAAAAATAAAACAAGTTGAAAATTTAATTTGCATGTGGTTTACATATCTTGTAGTACAAATTATTTTTTATATTTTTAATTTTAATTTACACATGGCAACAAATTCTAAAATAATTTTGTGTAAAATTGAAACAGGAAGTTGTTTTGCATTCTTAATTTTATATTAATGTGTGTTTGTGCAGGTAGCAAAATCTAAAACAAAATAAGTCATCTATACAATATGAAGGAAACAAATTCTAAAACAAAAGAATTAGTCAAATATTTTAAATTTGTATCAACATAAATAATGTATAGACTGAAATGTCGAAGATTATAAATAGGCGCCTGTTGGTTAGACCAAAAAACCGATTATTTTACTGAAAAAATCAATTAACCAAAAATATTCAAACATATGAAAATCATGTAATTGGTTTCGTTGGTTAAAATCAATTTTTCTCAAAAGCTGACTATTGAAGCTTCTTCAGATGATCCATCAAAAAATGTTAAAAAAAAATTACAAAAAAAAAACCCAGAAAAAATTGTCAAAAAAACCCAAAATCTAATAAAAACAAAACCAATAACATATTTTACTCTTTAAATAAAATGTAACAACTTTAATAATATTAAATATAAATTTATTAATAATTTAATTTTAAAATGCAATATCTTTTATAATAATTTACACAATTAAAAGTAATTTTAAATAAATTATTCAAATATCTTAAAATCAATTTTAAAAAAAATTCAAACAAATTAATTAATTATAATTAAAATTTATTATTTAATTAATTATTTTTATAATCTATTATACCCAATTAAAATTTAAATTGACACTAAAACGAAACAAAATAATCATTAATGAGCCAGAAAGGATTGAAATAGAATGAAATGTTACATTATTGGGAGTGTTTACAGGAAGAATAATTGATTTTGCTTAATTACTATTTAATAATTATTACAAAAATAATATATTTAAATTAATCATAAATATGGTTTTCCAATTTTAAAAAGCAAAAGGAGGAGTAAAAAATGAGAGCACCAAAGGAGATCAGATGAAATAATTTTGTAACATTATTTATATTAAATTATTCACGCCTTGACACCAAGTTAGAAAAGTGAATTATTGATGATTAAGAATAACTTAAAAAGTTTAATTTCATCCCAAGATATTTCAGTTTTTTTCTTAAATCACAATCAATCTAGTTTCCTCATTTTCTTTTTTGGCCGAACTGTTCATTCCTGCCAAACCAAGGATAAAATTTCCCGTGCACCAATTTGCTAAAAATTAATTCAACATATACTAGCGTCATCCGAGGCCTCTTGTTGGCAGAGGCAACAGCCGATATGTGTGCGCGTGTCTAAATTTTTCAAGAATATCTAGCCAAGATATCTGCTTCTTGGTCTCTGTCTCTGCTGGTGGATATTCTCCAACAAGGTGGTATAAAAATAAATTCATTTAGACGGGAATTCTTGCGGGCTGAACTGAAATGAAAGCTTCTCTGATTTCGTGTAAAATAAATCATAAAACACAGCCATGGAAAGTCATTTCCCCCCCCCAAAAGTACTGTTAAATAACTTCTATGAAGACGGCTAATTCTAGAATTCATCCATCTCCACTTTTGGTCGATAGCAGCAGGGATAAAGTGTATTACATGAAGCGCAGAATCTGTGTGAAAACCTCCTTCATTTTCAAAAATATACAATGTACATACACTTTGGCCCGCGGGGCTATCAGGTTAAAATTGAAAAGGCATAAGCAACATTGTCTGAGGTTATTTTTCATTTAAAAAAATTACAGAGGAAGCAAATTATAATAATGCATTTCCCATTCTTGAGGAGAAATGTAAGTGGTTCAATGCTGGTGCATTTTACAATTTACAGAGGGTAATGGAAGCCACCAATATGAGGAATTAAGAAGAAGAATACAACGTCAATGTACACGTACCAGGGCTTCATACATGATCCGAGTAGAATCCTCCGGTTAGAGTATCCGTGACAGAGAACTGCAGGTTCTCCGAAGGTCTCCAATGACGCTTCCTTTGATTAATAAACCAATTGTTTATTTGCTTCTGATCCAGCCCCGTCGTCTTTGCCAGTGCTATCTTATCAGCTTCCTACTACCACCACCACCACATTATTTTCATTTTACTTACCAAACATTCAATATCTATTCTACCACTCTTATTCTTACTAACTTACTGATTTCATCATATTTTCTGCCTCATTAGCATAAATACCTTATCATCATCCATAATTGATACAAATTTATAAAAAAGTCATAACAAGGCTTATAATTCAAATAAAGAAGCCCACATTACCTTTGGCCATTCAGAAGGCCCACATAAAGTCCTAAAGAACAACCAAACACAACTGGGTTCACATAGTTAAATTCAAGCGTATACGTTAGCCCATGTAAACCTTAAATTGAGTAGGACTCGGCCACAACTGGCATTAAGACATATTAATTCTAATTTATGAACAAATAACTTCTTGCTTTATTTAATCAAAACAAGTTCGTGTTTCCGTACAAATATATTTACACGCATGTTCTCTTCTTTCTATTTATCTATTTTCATGTATGAATGAATGAAAATAATCTACAGCGCGGTAAAATCAGGCGGCAGTTTTATCAAATCACAAAAGGATTAGAATTTGATAAAAGTTTAAAGATATCAATTATTGTATTCTTTATTTTTTTTTTAAAGAAACACAACAGAGAAAAGGTTATTTAAAAAAACTCATCGCGCAACTTCTTGCAAAAAGTTACAGTAAATAAAGTAAAAAGAAGCAGGAAAGGTCGAAAGGAGGAATTACCGTAGGGTAAGGCCATTTATAGTGAACATTCCACCAGTCAAGAAGCGTTTGCCTAGCCTCTTTAGGGAGCTTGCCCTTCTTCTTCTTCTTCGAGAACTCTAATTTCAAACTGCTAATACGGCTACCAAACTTGTTTAAAAGCCTGTCCTTCAGCTCCCGGTCTTCCCCCCGCAATCGACCGTCTCGTGCATCCCCTATCTCCTACACTTACATCTTCCTCTGAAGACACGCCTCCTTCATCTGCACCCAAGAACGGCCAATAATAATGATCAACTCTAACCCCCTGCTTGGATGCTCAGATGAGAAGAAATGAGACGAAAGAAAAGAGAGAGAGAGAACTATTGAAAAGAAAATGTTATCACTCGTGCGATCGATAGGAACAAATAAGGAGGAAAGAAGAAGAATAAATATCTTAATAACTATAATTCCCTAATATAAGTATATATCATATCTAATGTAATTGTCTTTGTAAAAATAAATTGAAAAAATAAATTATATTAAAATTAACATAATCAAATTAATTTACAATTAAATTAGTTGTTTAAAAAAATGTAGAAAGCTAAAGATGCAAATTCAGCTTCTATTTCTTAAAATCAAATTAGTATTATTAAAATCAACATCAAATCAAATTATATTAAAATTAGTTATTAAAATTAAATTAGTTCTAAAAAGTTAAAGACACAAATTTTCATCTAGTTAAAAACTTAATTGTTTGTAAATAATTAATGTGGTTAAGCCGGGCAAAAAAGAGAGGAGAGGGTAGATAATGAAAATAAAAAAAAAGTAGGTAATAAAAATAAAAATTTATTCTTAAAATTTCTCTACTTTTGAAAAGAAAAATTGTAGGAAAGTGTGTGAACACTTCATTTTCTTCCCAACTTTTCTTTCCTCACTTTTTCTTCTTCATCCAAACAGGAGAAAATGTATTTTCTCTCATGATTTCTCTCCTCACATGTTCTCTCTCCAATTAAATAGAACATAAAGTCAAGTAGCCCTTCTGTAAAGCAGAAAATGACGAAAAATAGATCACATAATCCGCTTCTGGGCCGATTAACCCTAAGAAGGGCCCAAAAGGGGGATAGAGGACTGAATAAGAGGCCCACAAACGGACACAGAGGGTTGCGTCTGACACCCACTATGTCCGACAAGGATTTGACCCCCACATGAGGGGGGTACACCGAAAAGAGGAGAGCTGTGTTGGAAAAGAAAGAAAAAGAGAAACAGATCAGTGTCAGTGGCCAGTTGCGTCGATTGTCATTGGTCAGGTCAGAGGCAGTGGGAAAGTATAGAGTAAGGAGACGATCCAATATACTAATCTATGTTACAGCCATCCGTATAAATATTGGACACCCAATGCTTAAAAAGCTTGAGCTCAATCTTCGTGCTCCTGACCTGAGAGAACTGAGAGAAGCAGAAGCTAACTCAAAAACAAAATAAAAAGTTGCTTTTGATTAACTTACACATTACTCAACAACATATAGTAAGAGTAGAAATGGAATGAGAGATAATGGACAAAAACAATAATACAAGTAATCACAAATGATTAGATCTCTCTTACTGTGACAATGAAATCAATTAAGACCGCTGGTTTCTCCCCTTTTTCATAAAATAAAATAAAATAAAATAAAATATTTGAGAACTTGAGAGGGAGGGTTGGACAGAAAAGGACAGGTACGACAGGCGCTCAGCTAAGAAGTAAGAAGGGGATGGCGGAGAGAGATTATCTCAACTACAGCAAAAGCTGTGAAAACAACAGGGCATGTGAATGTTAAAGTAGTAATTATGAAAATAACTAAAACATGGATCAGAAGCCACCCGCTCTGCTCGGGATTTCCTACATGCCAACAATATATTTAATCATTTATTATTCCATATCCATCTGCATCGCCCCCACATAATGTTTCTCGTGAGTTTCTCTTCTTCCCAAATTCCAGCTTCCATCACTTCATGCTCGCTGCCATATCCTAAATTCCAGCCTTGGAAAAGAAACATGATTATAATATTACTCTCTCTCATTCTATTTATTTTGGTAATAATAATAATAATAGACTTTTACATTTTCATCAAAACTAAAAATAAATAAATCATAACTTCACCTTTATTAAATATATATTTTAAAAATATAATACTTTAACATTTAATAACTTTTTCAACTTTAATGAAGGTTAAAAAAAAAAAAAACTTTGATAACCCTGAGGTGTTCTATATACAGAAATACTCTCTCTGATATAAATAAACCAGAGAAGTATACTGCAATGATTTTATTTTCATACCCTCCAGAAGGAAAGAAAACCAATAATTAAAACCCAACCCATGCATTCTCTTTTAAGCTTTTAACAATGCTGAATGCATTTCTAACAAGTAAATCAGAGAAGCATATACACAGAACCAAAATAAATAAACATGATAATCCTTGAGATGTTCTACATACAGAACCAAAATAAATACTCTCTCTCTCTCTCTCTCTCTCTCATAAATAAACCAGAGACGGATACAGCAACGATTTTATTTTCATACCCTCCTGAAGGAAAGAAAACCAATAATTAAAACCCAACCCATGCATTCTCTTTTAAGCTTTTAACAATGTTGAATGCATTTCTAGCAAAATAAATCCAGGGGGAAAAAAAAGCATTCCCATGAACAAATTGGACTTCAAGTCCAAGCATCCAACCATATGATTTATTTCTAATTAACCTAAACAGGCTAAACACCGTCAATTAATAATCAATGATATGACAACAAAAATTAATTCAGATAAAAAATTATCCTCATCAAATTAAATGGTCAGCCAGGAAGTGCAAACTGGAAAGCAAAAGCTACTATATCTTCGCTTTCAATATGTCAGTGCGTGGATGGGTCCATATCAGAATAAACAACATCTCGGTCCCGATATAGAATACTCGAGAAAAATTTACTATTTTCACTTTTCTTATTCAAATTAAAAATCAAGCAAGCTAACATTAAGCATTGTCATCCGATCCTGTGTAGCGAAATCATTGCAACACTTCAAGCACTAATGTTTTCAGCTAGAAAGCCACAGATTACATCAAAACTCGATCACAAAAACACAAGCCCAAATCCGTTGATCAAAAAGCAGCATATTACACAAAATTCAAGCCCCCTGCATATCAGTATTATTTAGACGTAGGTGGAAGCGAAGAAAAAAAATGATTTAAAACATATAGGAAGTTTAATTAAATACCCAGTCAAGTAGCGGAAATATGCTAGTTAATTACAAATACAATATCCAATGCAAGGCCTGCAATGCATGTGGTTGGTCGCATGACAGGTAAAAACAAACGAAAAATTCAAAGAAAAGTATGGTGAACATCGAAGGGATAAGAACGAAAATCAAACATCATGTGCCCACTATATTGTTTCTCAAGCACGCGCTTAAGGAATGTGTAGGTTTACAAGACAGATTTAAGGAGAATCCATCAAAGCATGAAATACAAAGGCCATTTAAAAATTAAAACATCACTGAAAAGGCAATCTGTACTTCCAAATAAACGATATTATTAGTTATTTCTTAAAAATGTAAACATCGACACTGAAAGGTAATCTGTACTTCCAAATAAAAAATATAAGGCATTCGACAACAAAAAAGCATATTACAACACATCTAGTTGATATGCAGAGGGGCAATGATTTGTTAGAGGGAGAGAGAACTAAAATGAGCAATTCATTAACCGCAAGTACAATTTAATTATCTCAACACTTGAGCATAAAGAACCTAATCAGGAAAACCGAACTACAGATGTTATTAACTAGTATCAATTTATCCCGAAAATAAGTTAACAATACTTTAGGTGCAGACAGGCTATATCAACCCCTTTAAAGTACAATTTCCAATGGGCATTTTATATCGCAACAGCCAGCATCACTTATGCCCTATTGGAACTCTAAAACTAGTAAAGTATGGAAGGGAATCCATATCATATAAGACATTACTGTCAGATCTGATTGTGTTCATCTAATCCAAAACGGGTGAGTTGAAGAGTTACCATAAGGAGTCATATAAATGTTCAACATCAATTTACCTACATTATACAAATTTCTTCTGCATTCTTCCATAGCCATACAATCCTGATCATCCATTACTCTCTTTCATGTTAAAACTTCAAGTTTGACATTTGACTTTCACACAACACTTAGAATTTAAAAAGCTCCAAATGAAAGCAAGATAAATTCTGGAATCTTCTTTGAAATATCACTTAACAGCTCACAATTTTTTTTTTAGTTTATTACTTACTAAACGACCGCATAAGATGGGAAAACGAGGACTTCAAAATATTGAGTCCCTAAAAATTAGGAAACAACAAAATAAAAATTACCATTTATTATTTACATGCTATGAAACTGAAAAACACTCCCAACAATTTCCATAATCAAACATTTAGATGAAGGTTAACAAGAATATACTACAAGCATACAATACTTAGAAACCAACAGTCATAGAGAATCACCTTCAAAACGAAACTTACCTATTGACGAGCATGAAGCCAGATAAGGTGCTAGCCTGCCTTGGCTGCTTCAATCCATCAGATTTTAGGCCAATATCTAGAAGAGAACAACATCTAAAGAAAAAAAACTAAAGGAAACTGGGGAAAAACATTTGAAGGATGGAAGAATTGAGACGCAAAAGGCCCCTAAAAGAATTTCGCCAACGATACATGAGCAGGTTGCTTTTAGAGTGTTATCAAACGACGTCTGTGTCAGCGACGTCAAAATTCTGGAATTTATTTTGATTGTTAAAAAAACAATTTCAGCAGCCAGCAGAAGGCAGAACAAAAAGGAAATGAAAACAAGTAGAAACATATCAAACAAGACGAATTGATTAAAAACTCATACATAGAAGAAAGAGATTTAAATACGGTTGACTCAAATGACCAAGCAATCCATATTTCTTTCCACGGCGAAAGAAAGAAATACATGGAACGCGGGCTAACAGTGAAAGCGGGAAGGAAAAGTCACAAATCAACTGCAGATGGCTTGCTAGAGCGAAAAACGAAATGATTCTTCTTAGGGTTTTCATTTCTTTTTCCTTACTTCTAAAGTTGTTTGTATCACTGTGCCATCCGTTATTGCAACCATATGCTTGCTGCTACCGAGTTAGATTAATAATTCTGCGGGGGCAATATTTATGCCCTCAAAAAGAGAGCAACCATATAGTCAATGCTCCGGGTGGGTTCTTTCTCGTCCAAAAATCTCCAAAAGCTTTCAATTTTCAAAATAGTCCCTCGCTTGTTTCTCCAGATATAACGCAACATAAGACGACGCCTGCACAGAGCTAACAAAGAACATCGAGTTGTTCACAGGGGAGGAAAAGACTGACCGGAAAGAGTTGGAACGGGAGCACCAGAGCAGAGATGGCTGAGCTGGATTTCGATCTCGTTGAGGAAAGTAGTTGCTTCGTCAAACGGCCGGGAAAGATCAGACTTATACTTCATCAGCAGGTCGCAATAGGTTTCCTGTGACCACAGACAAAACTGAGTGAAAAACCAGAGTCACAATGAATTCGTCGAGCTATACGTAAAGGTGTGGACGTGAACATGAGAGAGAGTAAACCAAAAAAATTAATAAAAGGAAGGAAGGAAAGAAGGGGGGGACCATGAACTCGTCGAGCTCGGGATCGTCACCGAAGCACGTGGAAACAACCTCTCGCTTACAGACATCGTTTTCCCGCTGGATTTCGTCTAACAGGCACGCGATTTCTGGAGGCGCTCCCACCTGACATACATGCCAAAAACGTTTCACAACGTCCCAACGAGTCATAATAGATGGTATGTTGAAACGGCTTCTGAAGAACCGATTCCATCCAACAATTCAAGAGCTAAAACTGCATAGGGTTCCACAGAAACTAGTACCCAAAGTCCTCGTTTATAACTTGCTATAGTTAAGTCCTTGCTTACCTTGACTACGACTTCAAAATCTCTAGAATTGAAAAAAGACTAAAGAAAAGTAAATAAGTTATGACGCTGACAAGTTTCGAAAAGCTTGAAGGGGGAAAAAACTCAAAAGTTAAATCAGCAAAATGAAGTACAATATTGAGAATTGGATATGAAGGAAAAATAGTGAATCTCAGTAACTTGGCTTGTTCCTGTGCTTATTTATGATCTCAGGCGCAGGAGGTTATGAAATCACCTTCTGGCAGTCGATGAAAGCATGGAGGAGACGAGGGTAGTGAGGATGAGAAGCGATTTTGGCTTTGATGAGAGAGGAGGCACTGTCTTCAGGTTGAATTTCAGGGGCGACAGACGGCGGCTCAGCTTCGGAAATGGCAGAAAGCAGGTCGTTAGATCCGAACATCGGATTCCGATCATGGAAGCCGCCGGAGGAGGACGGGAGAAAACTCTGGTAATCGGTGGCGAATATGAGGTTCTCCGGCGTCATCAAGGCCTTGTCGGAGTAGTCCGCCGACATCGGCACTCCGTAGATTTCTTCCATCGCCGGTCGAAGTCGAACACAAAGCTCGAGCACCAAGTCTGTGCGTAGCAGAAGCAACTTCTGGAAGAAGAAGATACCGATAAACACAACCACTTCCAATTCCAATAAATCGAACAGCTCGCCACGCTCTCACACATTTACTGTTACATGATTTCTGCTGAAAAAGGAGATTGTCCATTCCATAATTTTACAAATACAAATTATAATTATCTTATCTGCAGTAGTAAAACATAATCCATGTTTTTTTTTTTTTACAGAACATTGTCTCTATAAATATTTTGCTTTATCCTCTATTTTATATAGATATTAAATATTAAGAAGTAATTAAGTAAGCAGTAAACGAAAGTTGAACTAAATAAATATTTAAAAAGAAAAAAGAAAAATAACAATAAAATTTTTTTAAAATATGTAAATGATAATTTAATTTTTTAAAATATCATAATTTTTTAAAATTTTTGACACTTTTTACTAGTAATGAGTTTACAGAAATTATTAAATTATTTTTATTTAAAACAAATAATTTATAAATTTTATTTAAATATTTATAATTTTTTTACATTCATCATAATGTAATAATTTACAACTTCATTTTTTATTTATTATTATATTATTATGAATATAAAAATAAAAACTATAAATATTTAAATAAAATTTATGAACTATTTATTTTTAATAAAAATAATTTAATAATTTAAATAAATTTATTGATGGTTAAAGAGTTTTAAAAAATTTTAAGAGAATTACAATATTTTAAAAATTAAATTAATATTTATATATTTTATAAAGGTTTCTGTTATCATTTTTTCGAGGAGGAATTCGGGAGGATGGAGGGGAGTGAATACAAAGACTTCGGGATTGGGAAGAAGATCAGTGAACAGAGCCAGCAGCGACTGAACCGGCGGTAAGGAGTATCATTCTCCATTCCCAAACAGAGAATCCTTGGTTTTTATTTTTATTTTTTTTATTTTTGGCTAAATACGAGAATCCTTTTAAATTTATTTGGTTGGTCTACATAGAGTTTTCATTAGAGTCTTTTTTTTTTCAAATAAGGAAAAGATCCTTTCATTACAGCAGATAAGTGGGGATCAAACCAGAAAATTTTATGTGACATTTCAGAATTAGGGGTAGCTTTTTCAAAGTTTCTTTTTTTTTTTTCCATTCCCACCAATTTGTTTGAATATGAAATCTTGTAGCTAAACAGTCATGAATCTTTATCAGGCTAGGACCAACGCGTGTTACAACTTCACTCCTTCATTGTTATATATAAGGTTTAAAGAGAAATATTTTTTGTTTTATTTATAAATCATATAATTAAATTTTAAGTATAATTTTTTCTTTAATTAAATATATATATTTAATATAGGAAAAATTAAAAAGTTTTTAAATTTCTTTATAGAATTAATAATTTTTATAATTTTTCTTGATTTTAGTAAAATATATTGAAAATTTATAAATATGACCAAATGAGTATGATCTGTAATTTTATGCTCCTCCAATAAAAAATATAAAGTATTTTTAATTGAATATTACCCTTCAATAAAAAAATTACTTCATCTTCAAACTAATATTGTCATTTTATAAATACCCCTATTTAATAGAGATAGAGTATTTCACTTTATAATAAATATAAAGTGATTTATTTATTAAAAATATTTTTAAAATAAGACAATAATTACATATTAAAATATAAAAATACTTTATATTTTTTAAAATTTAATATTTTAAAAAATGCCTTAGAGGAGTATACCCACAAATTATCTGTAGATCAATCTATAAGCCTCACGTTTGGGTTCAGATTTGAAATTTTAAAAATATATCACTTTCTATCCCTGTCTTGCATAGAGATATACACATGCATGTAAATCAAAAAAGAATCTGCTAACCAGAGAAGCTAAAGCCGAGCATGAGTAATCTCTCTATGCAAAAGGACATTTCATCGTTTAACAAATACAGTCAGATAATTTCCTCACATTATATTTTCTCTCCCCTAACATTTTCTATGCAGCAAACGCAATTTATATTGTCTCTCTTCTTAAAATTTCCAAGTCTCTTGTTCAAGTTGGGAAACTGTTTGGTAACTTGCAAAGTTCATTTCATAACTTAAAAAGACAAAACTTCTTTCACATTATTTTTGTGCATATCCAATGAATTTCCAAATACGTACCCATGCATTATCACATTTATAAAGGGAAAAAGTAATCAAACACATGCATGTATGATATAGACACTCTTCTTTTACTTTATATTTAATCAAAATACAAACTATATCCTTGTATTTTAATTGTATTTTGTTTTTAATCCCTGTAATTTCATTTCATTGTTTCTAATCCTTTTAGCGTGATCAAACTAAATGAAATAAAAATCATAAAATAAAATCATTTTCTCTTAAATTTATTTTTATTGTGCTCGATGGAAGTAAATGTTAACAGTGTATAGAAAAAAAAAAGGAAATTTTAATATTTTTCCAATAGCTTGTTCGCTTTTGCACGGGATGATAATATAACTACTGCGAAATACAATTTCTATACAGAAAATTAGATTATTGGACAGGAAATGAGCGACAACAAGGAGAAGGCATGCCCTATGATATGAGCTAAGATTATTTTCTTTTTTTCTTTTTTAATTTCCCATGATTTATATATTTGCGTAAAAATCTTAGATCCTGGCCGTAGGACATCTTTAATACGATAAAAACCTTTCTCGAAATATTCCAAGCCGTTTTTTTTTTTTTATCATTAAGATATTAACTAAAGGAGACGGTAATCTCGTAGTACCTCCTTTTAGAATAAATCAATTAATAGCCACGCTTTTATGTTTTATTCCTCTCGCGCTCACATGTTTTTTAAAGGTTCATTTGGCGTTGGATTCTCTTTTCCCAAAAAAGAATATGTATATTTTTATTAATTAATAATTTGAAATCATATTCATGTATTACTGTTTTAAAATAATAATATAAAAATATTATTTTATTTTATTTTATTTAAACAAATATGTGAACTAGGCGTAAGCAACTAACTTTTCACAGATGAGGTACTATGAATGATTATATGCGTAAGGTAGATTGTACATCAATGAAAGCATAAATGCATTTTCTATGCTTAATATTCCTTGAGTCATGTCACGCCTAAATGTTAATAGATAGTATATAATATTTAAAAAATGAAATTCTGACATAAAGTTGAAGTATCAAATGATGTTCAATAAATATATAAACCCTATAGGAAGTACAGTTTTTGATTAATAGCAATGGAGCTGATTGTTAAATTCATGAATTCAAATAAATTTATAATTATAATTATGATAAAGATATAAACTTAAAATATAAATGCAGATCATAAATTTATAAGAATTTATCTTTATTAATAAATAAGTTTTAAAAGTATATGATTAAATAATTAAAATATAAAAATATGACATAATTTAATTTAAATATATTTTAAATGTAAATAATTAAAGTTAAATCTATTTACATATATTGTTATATTTAATATGAAAATTTTAAAAGAGGGCAACTTAGTATTTTTTTTTTTTTATTAATATTATTTTTTTGTTTCTTGAATTTTTTTATTGAACCTACTGCTTATATAAATTAAGTTTTACGCAATATATACATATCTCACTCAAGAAATTTATGAATAAATTGGTATGATTTTATAAGTTAGATATGTAAAAAGGTAAATTTAAAAAGTTAACTCACGAGTTTAATTGAATTTTATCTAATTGTTTGAGTTCAATTGAGTTGTACTCTTTATTATCAAACTCTTGAGTTAACTCTATAAATTTATCATTTTTATGCTTGAAGCATTTTTACTTTCAGATTAAAAAAGGATACTCAAGAGGCCTCGCATTTAGTTAATCATTATATTAAATAGAGCGTGGTATTAATTTATTACCAGCGGTATACATATATAATATTCTTTCAAATTTTTTACGAGAAACATTCTTGCTTCTGATTGATAGCAACATTAATGTAAATTAATATTCTTTCAAATTTCTTACAATATATAATGTGCGCGCACGCCTGGTGTTCTATTTATGCCCCTGTTAGTGTGCTCATAAAGGAAAGGATATTAATAGAAAACATAATGTTTATATGTATAAAGATAGAAATTTGACTCCTTGTACTTCACCCAAATAATAATAATAATGATGATGATAATAAAGAAATAAATAAATTTGAGAATTGAAAATATAAGAGCATCGTGAATTGTATTGTTAAAACTTACAAGTTTAATTAAACTCATAATAAGAATATAAACTCGAATCATAAATTTATAAGAATTTACTTTAATTTATAAATAATCATTAAAAGTATATGATTAAATAATTAAAACATAAAATATAACCATAATTTGATTTAAATATATTTTAAATATAAAGTATTGAAATTAAATATACCTATATTGATAAATTATCATACTCAATGTGAAAATTTTAAAATAGGGCAACTTATTTTTGTTGTTTTCTTTCTTTTATTACTATTAATTTTTGCATCCTGAGTCTTATTTTTCTTTAAACTGTGTCTTACCATGCTATAAAGTGAGTTTTACAGAATATATATCTAACTTACTCAACTCAATTAAAAGTCAATTAGTTTAGCAAGTTTAACCAATTGTCTTTAGTCTAAGTTTATGAGTAAGGTAATAAAATTCTATAAACTAAAAATATAAAAATAATAAACTTAAAGAGTTAAGACTTGTTTGGGTTTTCTCTTTTTTTATTTTTAAAAACTGTTTTGTAATAAGTTTTTAAAATAAAATAAAATAAAAATTCATTTAATTATGTCAATTAAAAAATAGTTTTAGAATTAAAATGGATATATAGTTATGGTTATAGACAGTTAATGATAATGATTAATAATAAAAATTAATTAAAATAACTATAATCTTTAATAATTAAATATAGTATACTTGAAAAACACAAGAAAAATAAAACAAAAACAACTTAAAATTAGTTCTATTTTTATTTTTTAAAAATAAAATATGAAAGCATTATTGAAAACAAAAATACTTATCTAAACAAATTTTTTTATTTTTTTATTTTCAAAAACAAAAAATAATTTTTAAAATACAAAACAACCAAGCCTTTAACTCACGAGTTTAATTAAATTTTTTTAGTTTAAATTTATTAAATTTTATCTAGTTTAAATT